GAATGCAGCCGATTGCCTCTTGCATACTTCTAGAAATACACTTGCAATTTTGCACAAACATTTATGCCAGTCCACACTTTTCTGTGGATAATTTGTATTTCATCCAAGCCATTCAAAGCCAGAGCTATTTTTTTTTTTTTTTGAGCAACCCCCTCATTATGGCTTTTGTGCATCAACTATTTTTATTCCGGTTGTTTGTATTTCCTCTTACCAGAATGATGGCTTGTTTATATTCACATTCACTTTATATTTCCTAAGACTTCCCCTCCCAACCCTGTCTCACATTTGTATTTTGTGATTGGGAAAAATTCTTTAATTTTGAGGTCAGAATGGGACTCTTTCATAGCCTAATTGAAGAGAGCACAAAAGGTTACATGTTGCATTTTAGGGTAAATCTACTGTATGATAAGGAAAGTTTTTCTTTTAAATATACAATGCACATTTCCTAGTTATGACTCATCCTTACACAATGTAAAGATGAACAAATTCCTCAGAAGAATGCACTGTGCTCTAGGCACACCTTTTCACAACTCTGCTTTCCTCGAGTTATATTTGTAGGGGGAGTTAAATCATTTTGGTTTCTTATGCTAATACTCAAATGATTTCAGAAGTGAAAAAAACCAGTATATTGGGTATTATTCCTGTTTCTTTTGGAATTTATTATTATTATTACCACCATGCCTGGTCTTAGAGATTGTTTTTAAAACTTTAAGATTATAATTGAATTAAGAAACTGGTGCTTGAATAGAAAACAGCATTTTGGGTGAACTGTTCAAAGTAAGCAATCTAAGAAATTTATAATATAATATAATATAATATAATATAATATAATATAATATAATAATAATTTTTATTTGCAGGAGTTGGTGTTTTACGCTTCAGAGTCATGGCAAAATCTTAGCATAGGCAGGGTAGGATGTATCTACTCATCCACATTCCCTGGCAGTTTCAGCTGGCTCACATAATCCTAACTTCCTCTCCTAAATATATTTTAGTGGCGCATCAGTGGATTACGTGATGCACCTTGTCATCCCGCTTTTTAAATTCTACTGCTGTGTGTAAGAAATACAATAGAAATGAAAACACTCTTGAAGTGCAGCAGGGTATTTTTCTGCTCTTTTCATGATTCAAATGTCTTGCACTGAGCAGTGTTGTCAGCTTATACTATATTCTTTGTTACCAATAAGGCAAAGTTGGGTTCACACAACCTTCCCCCCCCCCGAAGTGTTTTCCCAGTGACTTATTATGCAGAGCTGTTTGGAACTAGGTCATGCAAAGGATCAGAACTATATGTTCATGTTGCAAAATAACACACATTTGACAAGTGGCCTTTTTGAGGCATGCTGAGCTTGCGTTGATCTTGATGTGTGTCAGATCTTTCATGTGACCTCTTTCACCATGAAGCACATGGAGGGTGATTGTAAAAATGAACTTGCGATGAGAGTAAAATAGTTAAAGTCATTTGAATCCACCTTTAGCCTCAGTTAGTGTGATGCCTCAGGCTATGTGGTACACAAAATACTCTGGGGGCCTTCTGGATGGAAGGTGTTAATGTACAGAGGGGATTTTGTTTTTATAGTACCAAATAGTTGTAAAAGGTTACATAGATTCAGTCTCATTTTATGAGCTATTTCAGAAAGCAAGACTGGTCTTATGGGGTACAGTAGATAAACAGCATTTGAAGCTTTAAACTTATTCCTGGAATGTTGGGTGCTTATTTCTGGAATGTTGGATGCTATTAAAATAATGCAGATTGACTTAGATATTCCTTAAGGGTTTTTTGTGTGTGAAAACTTATACTGCGTCAGACAATAAATAAACTGTTTATCACAGTTCTTTGTTACTTAGCTTTCTTAAGCAAGCTATTATACTGTTATTATTCAGTTATGATTATATTATTCTATTACAATTCAGTTGAGACTTGTATTTAGTCTTAATTCTTCACATTAAAGTTTGGGGTTTTTGTTTTTTTTGTCCTTTTGGAACACTGAAATTGTTGGAACCATAAGGCTTCTAATTTTCCTTCCACCTTCTTGAGGTCTGTCGGGCAGTGGCGTAGCGTGGGGGGTGCAGGGGGGGCCGGGCGCACCGGGCGCAACATCTGGGGGTTAGGGTTTGGGGGCACAAATCCATGGGTTAGGGGGCGCAAATCCATGGGTTAGGGGGCGCAAATTACTTGCCTTGCCCCAGGTGCTGACAACCCACGCTACGCCACTGCTGTTGGGATCCAATAGGCCCCATTTGGACTGATGCTTCTGATGTCCCCCCCTCCCCCCTTCTAAAGGCAGCACCGCCTACTGTACTGAAAGCTACTCAGGGGACTTTGGGAGTGGTCTTCAAAGCAGCGCAAGAAGTGGCAGGTTAGCAGCTGAAAACAGGAATTACTTGACCACCACTTGCATGTACCTAAGGACCTCTTTGGATTCTTGCTTTATTATTCAGTATAGTTGTGAGACAGCAACTCAGATTTCATGCATGCATTTGGGATAACACTGAGTCCATAAAGTTCTATCCTACAAAAAGCAAATGGGCCATAGAATAAATGAACTGATCTTTGTTTATTTGTTTGTTTCAAAAGATGTGTCTTTTTGTGCTCTGTGGAAAGAGTTGTATGAACAGATCCAGGTAATTGGACGGAGGTCTAGGGTTTTCCTTTCGCCATTTCCTTTTGTGCCAAAAGTGCATACAGTGTTTATTGCCAACGATAAAAGTGATTCCTACAACAGACCACAACCTGGAACAGCCTGTAGTCGAAAAAGGTATTCATGCATGCAAACAGGCTAATTTACATGAATACATTTTTTCCTACTTATTTGCATTAGTGTGTAGTACTAAGGATAAATATTTCGATTTTAAACTTAGGCTTGCTACTTTAAAATGTAGTTTGTTAAATAGTTTAAATTCTCTTACTAAGTTTTTTCCAGTATACAGACTTTGGTAAAACTTTGATCCTACTCAAATCTATAATTTTGATAGTTGCATTGAGCTATTGAGTGTGTTTCCCTTCTTTTCTCTGTTCTAGTTTCAGAATGAACCAGAATGATTTTGTACATTTTGCAGTACATGACAAAGAGCGTGCTGTTTTAATATTATTGTATGGAAGACTATGAGAAAAAAGAATGAAGGGAGAGACAAATGAATGCTTCTACTTCTCTTCCTTCTCTCTTTGTAAAAGAATTAGGAAGAAGAAGGTGCGGAGGGACAATGCTGCACATTTTTAACATCAAAGAGAAAAGTTGCCATAGTTGCAGCCGTAAGCATGAAGTCACTAGTGTACTTCTTAATTATGGTACAAACCTGCGGCACTTGTGTAGAATTGGGCTCTGTGGATTGGATCAGTCATTTTATATGGAGCTACACAATTTCTGCTCAATGTAATATGCCTATTCCAAATGACTGGTATAAATTTGGGTTAACTATGATTCGCCTTTTCCTTCCCTACTTGTCTTTTTTTTTGAGAGAGAGAGAGGTAGGAATATAGCAAGGGGGTTATATGGAGAATGTTAAGGACGTTATGTGTTCAAAGCAAAAGGTGTTAATAGTTAATAGTTTATGAACCAACAAAAACAAAAAAATGTGTGGGGAATAGCAAAACGTAACTTGCATTCTTCATTACTCATTAGTGCTGGTTATGAATTATGGTTTATCTTCCCAGTGAACAGAAAATGCATATATCTCTAGACAGCTCTGTGCTTTTTCACTGAATTCCAAGCCGCTGCTTTAAAAAAACGCAGTGAAATCCTATACATATTTAAAACTTCGTCTCACTTGGTTCAATTTGGCTTATACCCAGGTAAGTGGGTTTAGGATTGCAGCCTTAAAGAGTGCTCCAGGAAATAGCACTTTGCTGTCTTTGACACATCCAATTAATGCTATTTTCCTTTTTTTAAAAAAAATTGTGAGTAGAACAAGGGAGCAGGCATCTGAAGCCAGAACAAATGAGAACTTAGGGAAAATAAGAGATGGACTTGTTTAAAAAGAGAGGAAAGGGGAGAGAAGCTACGGGGTAGTGATAATTTTTATCAAACACGCCAATCCTCAGTCTGTGGCTATATTTGCTGAAATGCCAACGACACTGATTGTTTCTGTAGGTATCGCTCAAAATAGTTCCTCTTTTTTTGAACTGTTTTCACTCACTCACTCACTCACTCACTCAACCCTATATGCCCTCATCTACATATTGTTGGAGACAGGAACACATTTAGTTCTTTAGCTCAGAGTCATTGCACACCGTGGGGCAAGGAACCTGACAAGAAACCAGTGCTTAAAATAAGTGTACAATTTATTGAAGAATAGCAATGTGTAAGTTATCACACACACACACACAAAAACACAAGCAAAGTTCAAACTGGTCTAGCAACTTTGGGATGAAATATAAAGCAGATAGAGATAGAAGGGAGCTGATACCAAATGTGGTGGAGGCAAAGGCAGCGGTTGCCTGGTAGACATGCATGGAGCTGAATTAGGTTATGTAGAGAAACTAACACGCAAATATATGTTGTTGCAAAGTAGCATAGGTACCTATGCAAGACCAAAAAGAAACAAAAGTTAAAATATTACTTATTTCAAAGTGGGAGGGGTAGGCAGTAGCATTTAATTGGGGGTTGCAGTAAATTGAGACTGTCCTCAGGATAAGGATGCTGGGAACATACTGGATGCCTCTAGTTGCCAGCAAACAACGAGAGAAACAGCTGCAGTAGGAGATGCACATGTTTTGTGCCTTTCCTGCAGCACTGGCTAATCCAAGTAAAATCAAAACAATGTATCCAGTCCATATATTGAAAACAGGTGTCAAAAGAGGAGTTGCTTTTGAAAAGTTGAAGTAAATATTAATCTTCTCAATTTCTTTTGGCTCAGGATAGTTAACTTGCAGCCAGTGAGTCACATCCAGCCCACCATGCTATGGGATGTAGGCTGCCAGACCTTGCCTGCAGCCTTAGCTCCTGATCTGATTGGATGATTAAGTGTTCTTCCTTGATTAGAAGATAAAATGCAGGAAAGGGCCATAGCTCATTGGTAGAGTATCTGCCTTGTGTGCAGGAAGGTCCCAGGTTCAACCCCAGACATCTCCAGGTAGTGCTGCAAAGACTCCCAGTTTAAAATCCTTCAGACGGTACTGAGCTAGATGGACTATTAAACTACTGCAATGCACTCTATGCGGGTCTGCCTTTGAAGGTGATGTGGAAACACCACAAAATCAGAATGCAAGCAGCTGGACTGGTGACTGGGACCGGCCACTGGGACCATATAACACCGGTCCTAAAGGATCTACATTGGCTCCCAATACGTTTCCAAGCACAATTCAAAGTGTTGGTGCTACCTTAAAAGCGCTAAACAGTCTCAGTCATGTGAACCTGAAGGAACATCTCCACCCCGTCATTCACCCGGACACCAAGATCCAGCTCCTAGGGCCTTCTAGGTTCCCTCACTGCAAGAAGTAATGTTACAGGGAGCTGGCTAAAAAGGAAATTGCAGGTATCCATACAACCCACCCTCTTTCCCAAGAATGAGGGTCTTATGTGTGAATCCTTTGCTTCCTTTTCTATTCGGTGTGTTGTCTGCTTCTTTTTGTATGTTGGCATAGATATTGCCTGGTTTTCGTTGTTGCTGTTTATTTGTTTTGGGGTAGCGTGCAGGTGGCTTGCTTGTTTGCGGGTGGATGGGCTCTGAACATCACCTGTTTTTCTTCTGTGGCATGGGTATCTTGGCCCCTGATTGTTCCTTAGATTTCCAAATGTGTCCCCGTGCCCCAAAACATTGTTGCCAAGCGTGGTCTATTGCAGTATTTATGAAATTAGTGAAAAACTTTATTTCCCACCAGGCATTTTGGGATAGTCAAGCTAGCAGCTGTTTTTATACTGGACAGATATTTTTACTGCTGTTCGTAGACTTATAGTGCATTTTTATTTATTTACCATGTATATATTTAAATCATTTATTTCCCTCTTTACTAAAAAGTTAAATCTTGCTAGCAAAGAATATACACGTACAGTAAAAATAGGGAAGAACTACAAATACAACAAAGACACTTAAAATCACCATAACAACAACAGCAACATGACATAACCCGCTGAAAACAGGGAAATAAAAACAATACAGAACAACAGTTTTTATCTATCTTGTTCTGTGTCTTTCTTGTTTCTGTTTTATATTTTATTGTTTTACAGAAATTGTGCTCAATATTATTTCATAAGCCACTTTAAAGGCCCTTCAGACTGATTGGTGGGGTAGCAAATTTTAAATTAAGGAAGTAAACAGTTGGTAAAATTTGGAGCTTGATTCTGAACACACTCTTGCTCTGATGCCTGCAAGAGTGTGAGTGGTTTGCATTGCTCAGGTCCATAAAGCTTTTAGCACATACTTAATCCACTTGCTAGCCTGTGCTAAGTTCTGCAAAGGTCTGAGTGTATATCGATGGAAATTTCACTTTTTACTTTTACTCATTCCCCCCCCTACAGTTTTAATGGCAGGCTTGTTAGGTATTTTAGGATGCACACTTTAACTTGGAGCAAGTTATGCTAAAAACAATGCAATTTACTTGTAAGTAAACATGCACAGGATTGTTCTAAAAGTCTTTCAGGTCTTGATTTGTCAGCAGATTGGAGCCGGGTGGGGTATGTTGCAGTAGATATGTCTCTGGTTGCATAGTTATTGCTTAAGTGTGCTGTTAAAATATGCTTGGAATGTGGCTCATTGTGCCTTTGTTTATAGAAAATGAGGTATGCCTATGCAGGTATTGCTGGATATAACTAGTTTGAGTAGGAAGGAGAACGGACAAGTGACCAGAAACACAGGAACATAAAGGTTTTATCCATAATTCCACTTCTTTGTTTTTGGGACCTGCTTCTTTCTTCCCACCTCTTGACGTCTTTATATTAATACTCAATAGCTGAGGTACAGAGACCTTTTCAAAATGCTAGAGTTGGTTCCCGCTTCATCACCACCAGTGCTACTTCTATAATATTTGCCTTGCCACTTGAATGGAGAACAAACCACTGCCGTTCCCTTTTCCTCTGCCACACACACGTGGAACGTCCCATATTAACTTGCATTGAGTAAGGAAACAGAGCTTACTGCTTTGGAAAATGACACTATCCAGCTGCTTCTGCTTAGGTGGACAGATGTGGATCTAGTCCTTACTTAGGTTGTTCACGTGTATCTATCTAGGCTGGAGCACTTCAGATCACAGGCAGAGGCTTTTGGGACCGAATATACCGGTACTTCCATACAAAAAATAATAACATTTAAAAAGAAGGAGAAAGAAAGAAATTCCACATAGAAAACTGGCATGTCAGGCAGAAGTTTTAATAGTTTACTACGCTGTTTTACCGCTAGATTGCTATGTGCAGGGAGGTGGTTTTTGTGTGTGTGTGCATTGTGGAACATTCAGTAACATGAGCTGCAGTCCACATACAGCCTTAAGATACCAGCTGTAACTGGACCTCATTCACTTTATTCACTGTCTTTTTCAAGCCTTCCAGCAGAAGCAGCGTTAAATTTCTACTGGATCTCCTAACATCTGACTGCTGCTGGTCATTGGCCAACCCTATTGTAGTAAAGACAGGCTCATTGATAAATTGCCAGTATGAATGCATCCCTGTAACAGTGCGAGTTCTGCAGATGGAAGTGATCGAGTGAGCATACGAGGGCTAAGGTGATCTCAGAAGTAAACTGGTCCCAAACTGTTAAAGGCTTTCTATAACACCTTGAAGTTGGCATGCTAGTTGGCTGTCAACCAGTGCAGGTCTCTGAGCAGGATGCAGAGTTACACCAAGACTGTCAATCAGCTCCTTTAGGGGGAGTGGAACTTTATCCAGGGTAGGCAATTGATCAGTGACACAGGAACTCATTCACATTGCCTCTGCCTTGCCAGGGTTGAAGCTCAGCTTGTTTTTTCCTCCTCCATCTCACCACTGCATCCAGGCACCAGTCCAGGGCCTACGTGGCCTCTGCCAGTTCAGATGTTGAGCTGCTAGTGTTATCAGGATACAATGGCAGCTTGACCCAAGACTCCAAATGATCACCTCCTGTGGCTTCATACAGATGTTAAATAGCATTTGAGCTAAGATGGCAGAACCATCATGACACTGAAACATTCTCCCAATGCTTTTCTCTGGACACTGTCTCAGAGGTAGAACTGCAGCCACGGTGATGAAATGCTCCCAGTTCCCATTCCTTGGAGCCAATCCAGGAGGGTACCATGGTCAATGGTATCAAAAGCCAAAGAGAGATCAAGAAGCAGAAGCAAAGTCACACACTGCCTCTCCCACTCTGCAAAGGTCATCTATCCAGATGATCGGTTGTGGACTAAATGAGGAAACCACAGGTTAAGGCTATTTATATTACAATTACAACATTTCATATATCAGCGATGGGACACCTGTGGCCCTGTAAGTGATGGTGGACTGCCAACTCCCATCAGCCCCAGACAGTATGGCTGGTGGGAGGTAGAGTCTCTAACAACATCCGTGGGCTGCAGGTTTCCTATCCCTGCCACACATGAAAATAAGGACAGTATTGTGTTTGAATGGGAAGCCTAGAGGCGGAGACTGACAGCTCTGTAGTGCAGCATTAGTGGGCAGTAGCGTAGTGTTATGTATTTAATACAACTTACTGTCTCCTAACAGGTTTCTAAGCAACCTGCATTGAATACCATATACATACAAACGTTATAAAATAGAGTGGGGGGGCATTAACATCCCATAGGACACATCAGTGATAACAACATTGGATCTGGTCCTTTAGCCATCTTGTGGGCAGGTTCTCTTGTGGAATACATTTGTTAAGATTCTACCTGAGCAAACATTTGTTCCTTCAATAAACATTACAAAATCGTCTTTCGATCTTCGGTGGATGCTTATTATGGTTATGGAGTTCTCCAGAGAGATTTGTATCAGCAGGTCTGGTACCTGCAACCCTTACAGAATCAAATATGCTTCCCTCTCTGGACTTCTGCTAGCATATATCCTACTCCATAATATATCTTACGGAGACCTTTTCTTAACTCACCAATCTCCTTTCTTACAGGGGAACTATCTACTCCACTCCTTCTTACCTCCATATAACTTTCTTGTTAGGTTGTCTGTCCTAAGCCCCAGGTTAAATGTAACTTCAACTTCATGCCTCCCTGTCTAAGGAAAGTGGCTGCTGGAATCAAGAAAGTTTTACTAGGCAATACATAAATCCTTATCTCTTGACCCTTGGTTTAATTTACTGTTTTTGACACAATTGTGAGTAGTTTAGATTTTTGGTATGCTAGGACGTTTACTAAAGCTTGCATATTAATATCCAAAGATTAAAAATGAAACTAACAGTTTCCGGAGAGACAGCTGTGAGCTGTGTTACTCTGTTGCAGTATTGTAGCACCTTAAAGGCTAATAAATGTATTTATAGCATAAGCTATTGTGGTACAGTCCACTTTTATCAGATGCAAAACACACTGGGTTATCCAGTGGTGTCCATCCACTGCAGAAGGATTCCTTCATCAGATTGGTGTGTATGTTGCTGTTTTAAGTGATTCCCCTTGCTAAGTGCACCCCCTAAGATGTTCAGGAGGGCCAGGGGACTTCCCGAAATAGATGGAGGGGAAGCTGGGGGCTGTATGGTGGAGAAGAAATCACAAAAAAATTCTCCCCTCATAGTTTTGTTGACATATTCCCTCTATCAATGGGCAGACAGTGTTGGATACCACCCACTATGCTTGATGAATGACAACAACAACAAATTTATTAAATTTGTGAGGTCCATGCCTTTACACAAAATACCATAAAACATTATTAAAAGATAAACCAAAAAGATTATAAAAGTAAGCTAAAATTCATGCCATGTTGTCCCAGCAAGGAAACTACCCAATAAACCCCACCATTCAGGGAAGAAGATACAGCAACAGGTTAGGAGAGCAATGGGAGGGACCTCACCGTTTCATCCAGGAACCATACCCTAGTTTTCATAGCCTTCACCACAAAGACCGCTACCACGTGAGAAATCCGTGGATCAGCGTCTACCAGTAAAAACTTTACTTGGTCCTCAGAGTTGACTATTGATTTAGGAATAGTTTGTAACATCGCATCCC